ACAAAATATGCCTTTATTTTATAGAACAATTCACAAACTACGATCACACTAATATACTATCTTGGCAACAACTTTCATACACAATAGATAAAAATCTAAGAGGAAGAAAACTGAAATGGTTCAACTCTATTACTACAAAAATCAAAGAAATTCTTTCAGAAAAAAGAATTACTCTAACTACACCAAATCCATTTATACTTAAACAACCAACGTTCAAAAAATAATGGATAATGATATCTCTTAATAATAATATACTAATAGAGAAAATAAATTCCTTCAACATAGACATGAAAACAAAAATTAGACACTAGATACTAAACAAAGAAACTGATATACTATTGCTATGCAAAGGGTGTAAATATAAGACAATAAACACAAAAACTTGTCTAACTGAGATATACACAACAAAGATATTTAAAATTCAAGTAGACTCCAAACATAAACTAAAGCTAAATATCTCTAATATTATTATAAGGGAAGAGGGAAACTAAGCAAATAACGCACTAACAGAACCTCAAGTACCAAACTGGAATACAACTAAATTAGTTTACAAACGAGATTCCAAAAGTATCGAGTTAATTTACAAAGCAATTAGAAATACTCAGATCGAAAAGACATTATTAGAAATATACCAAAAAAATCGACATTTCAAATCCTTTTCAGCTCAAATTCTAACAACACAAAAATCTGAAGTCAACAAAAATGAAATAACCGCCTCATAGAATATAGAGAATTCAGATTCGAATTTTACTATTACTACAAATACTTAGCCATCAATTCACAAAATTATAATTACCTTGCTTATCACTATACTCTTAACTATACCTGAGAATTGCAGCATAGATATATCAACTCCACATAGATCTATAACTCAAACTACTAACTATATTATTCAAAACCAAAACCTCAACTGTCCACAGATTACCAAAACAAAACACTGGTCTTCTTGGCTCTCTCTACTAACAATCATTAACCAAAAAAATATATCTCTAATAGTAATATACAAGCAATTAATAGAAAATGGATCTCTAAAAATACTGCCACCAAATATATGTGAAATACAACATGACAAACTAAGATATAATACATATATTCTAAAATGGTAAAATACTCCTATTGAACATACACTCAGAAGATTCTTATGACATATCCATAATACATCTCAAGAAGCAACCTGGTATTCTCAAAACTATAACTCTACCTGGAATCAATATAGAGAAACAACAAATTGGAGTGTCTTCTACGACTACATAAATATAAATGATCAACTAACAACTAGGAATACTTATCCTAAATACTCTCATCTCAAAGCTTTCAAAATTAAATTTTTATTAGAAGAATTACCTA